GGGTTTAGGGAGGAGGAGGATGGAGAGGCTACCAGGCTACTCCACGTCTGAACGTCCTCAAGGGCCTGAGGCTGCAACGAGCTGCTGCAATCCCGCGACGAGACTTGAGGAGAAGAAGTAGAGAGAAGATGCTGCGAAGACGATGAGGAAGAGGAGGAAGAGAACGAGAGGAGGGGGAGTACGAGAGGGGGGGGAGGACGGAAGTCACGGGTAAGCTGAGACGGAGAGGAATAGAGGATGAAGACGATCAGCGAGGAAGGTCAGGAGGAAGAAGAGCCGCAGCAGCAGCAAGGGCAAAAGGAGCACGAGCACGAGCACGAGCACGAGCACGAGGAGGGGCAGGAGGAGGAGCAGCAGCAGCAGCGGAGGGAGGAGAGTCGACCTGGCTGGAGGAGCCAGCAGGTCTCAAAGGATTCTGGTCGGTTCCTATGGTCTTAAGGACCCGTGTCGCATGCTCCTCTATGCCCTTGTGCCCCTTGTGTGCTGCGAGCACCTGCTTCAAGACCTGCAGCAGCGACTCAGAGCATGAGGGAGGAGGGGAAAGAGAGAGGAGCGAAGGACTTGCTCGTCCAAGACAAGGAAGGAGGGGGAGGAGGAGGAGGAGGAGGAGGAGGAAGCAGCAGCACCTTATCAAATCCGAGCGCGAGCATGCGTTGTTTGTTCTGTCCTGCTCCCACGAGGTTTCGGAGCGCAGCAGTCGCTTGCAGTTGAACTTCAGGGTGGTCGAGGTGGCGGCGGAGAACGAGGAGGAGGATGGCGAGGCCTCCTTCCTCTCCTATCAGGATCTTGTTCCCTTCCGCGTTGGACGACAGGTTCTTCAGCGCCGCACAGCCATGGACCTGAACGCTTCTGTTCCCCGCGAACTTCTCCATGGAAGTGACGATGGCGGCGATGCAGCGGGAGGGAGGGAGGACGGCCTTCACTTCCTTGCTCCACGCGAGGTTGCGGATGGCGGCTAGAGCATGCATGTGAACGTCGAGCGAGGAGGAGTGGAGGAGCATCGAGTCAATGATCGTCTCTACCGTCCTGCTGCTCGCGATGATGGTGTGGATGATGTGCATGACGGAAGGCGGCACGCGGCTGCTGCTGTTCCCCGCCATGTTCATCAACGCGCCGCATCCCTGCATCTGAATCCTCTCGCTCCCTCCTCGCGCCGCCATGGCCTCCACCACCAGCTTTATCCCCCCGTTGAGACACACGTGCACCTTCCCTTCCTCGTCCAGCGACATGTTCCGGACCAGCGTGCAGCACAACAGCAGCAGCTCCTCCTCCTCTCCCACCCGCCCCATCGCCTCCGACAGCCCAGTGAGCATGGCGATCTTGACGAGGAGGGGAGAGGAGGACGAGAGGAGGAGGAGGACGGCAGAGGCGTCGCGGCGGATTCTTGAGGACTCGTAGAAGTTGACGAGGGTAGAGAACAAGGTTTCCACCAGCAGGTTCACCCGGAACAGCCAGCTGAAGTCCAGCTCAGCGACGGTCTTGAGGAGGGAGCAGCCCAGGGCCTGCAGGCCTTCGCTGTCCTCGTGGTTCCTCATCGCCGTCGCCACCAGCTCGGGCCCGAAGGCAGACTTGAACTCGTCTAACTTGGAGGAGGAGACGGCCGGGGGGGGGGAAGAGGAGGAGGAGGGAGAGGAGGGAGAGGAGGGAGAGGAGGGAGGGAGGAGGAGGTTGCACAGGCTGCGGCACGACTTCTCCTGCACCCTGGCGTCATCGAGGTGGACAGCCATCTGCTTGAGGATGGACTTCACGTCCTCCTTGCTCGCCGCATGCTCGATGAGCTCCAGCGGCTTCTTGTCCGACATGACAGTTGCATAGGAGAAGCTCACTTCCTTGACTCGCTTCTCCAGCATAACATGCCCGAACGATCGCAGGACGAACAAGCTCACTCGCTCCACCTCCTCCACGCTCCTCTCGAGCTTCTCCAGCACCTCCTCTGTCTCGCGCGACTGCCGTAAGGACGCCTCCTTCACTCCCTTGCTCTCCTCCCTCGCCCGCGCCAGCCCCCGCGCAAGGTTTGCCAGCTGCTGCCTCATCCTCTCCTCGAACCGCAGGCGCGCGCTCGTCGCCGCCTCCAGGTTCTCCTCCGCCTGCCTGTGGCTGGCGATGCCGCGGAGGTCCCCCGAGAGAGAGGAGAGCTTACCTCGCAGCTTCACCTTGGAGCCGATGCTTGTGCGGCAGATGGCGCATCGAGTGAGGGAGGAGGAGGAGCAGGAGTCGTGGCAGCAAAAGCAATGTCCGCAGTCGAAGGCGTGCGAGGCCGGTCGCTCCATGCAGATGGAGCACTCAAGCATCTCCTCGAGATCGGAGATCTTCTTGCGCAGCATCACGTTCTCCTTGCTCCTCAGCTCCATCACCTTGAGCAGCTGCAGCTCGCGGGCCTCAGCCTGTGCTACCTTAGCTCTCTTCGACTGGACCTCGAGCACGAGGTCCTTGTACTTGGCGTCATCGTCTCTGAGACGATCGTTGAGTTTGTCCAGGAGCTGCTCATGCTTGCCCGACATGTCGACCTCAGCCCATCTCAAACTTCCTCCCGCCGTCGCATCTGCATAGATATCACCAGCATGTAAAAATCTTCTTCCTCACCAAAGTGACCACTCAACCTCGATCCTCCTTCTAGTCTATGAGGCCACTTGCCCCTCATCCTCCTACCATTCTCACGTCCGCCGCCTGCTGCTTCTTCTCGGCCTGACCATCTTTCGCGCCATTTCTCATCAAATCAGTTGCATTCGAGCGTCTTCTCTTGTCACTCTCTCTCCCTCCTCTGCTCTTCCTGCCCATGTATCACCCTCTCCTCCTCTCCTCCTCTCCTCCTCTCCTCTCCTCTCCTCTCCTCTCCTCCTCTCCTCCTCTCCCTCCCCTTGACCCTGTCGCAGTGTGCCGCCAGCTCCATTGCATGGCCTTCCCCTCTGAATGTAACGGTCTGTAACGTAGGTGGTAGGAATAATATCGCAGGAGCCTTGCGCTACTGCTGTCGTGATCCTTGTTCTACAAGGAGCTACTGCTCTCTGTCGTGATCCTTGTTCTACAAGGAGCTACTGCTCTCTGTCGTGATCCTTGTTCTACAAGGAGCTACTGCTCTCTGTCGTGATCCTTGTTCTACAAGGAGCTACTGCTCTCTGTCGTGATCCTTGTTCTACAAGGAGCTATTGCTCTCTGTCGTGATCCTTGTTCTACAAGGAGCTACTGCTCTCTGTCGTGATCCTTGTTCTACAAGGAGCTACTGCTCTCTGTCGTGATCCTTGTTCTACAAGGAGCTACTGCTCTCTGTCGTGATCCTTGTTCTACAAGGAGCTACTGCTCTCTGTCGTGATCCTTGTTCTACAAGGAGCTACTGCTCTCTGTCGTGATCGGACGGACGGACAGACGGACAGACAAAATACAGACAACCGGGGTCGGGTGATTGAGACAGACGAGGCAGAGGAGTTCAATGATACGAAAGGGGAGGAGAAGGTGAAGAGAGCTCCACGCGTGTCCTTGTCTGCCGTGTCGTTCACAAACCCATATGGCCTGAGAGTGAAGGGCATCACAGCTCTTTCAGTGAGCATGCTGCTTGTGGCGTTCGAGGCAGACCCAGGTCGGGCGGGGGGCGGAGAAGGAAGGGTTGAGGTTCAGGTCCTCGTGCACGTGCTGGCGGGTCTTGGTGACCTCGGGGGTTCTCACCATGGGCTTGCCCACCTCCTCCTCCTCCGGAGCTCGAGAGTTGGCTGAGCCTCCGTCCCAAGACTTGCGATCCGTTCGTCGCGCTGAAACCCCCGATCAGTTGGGAAAGAGAGCGGGAGCGAGAGCGATAGGGGGACGCGGAGCGAGAGAGAGAGAGGGAGAGAGAGAGAGAGAGAGAGAGAGAGAGAGAGAGAGAGAGAGAGAGAGAGCACCTATCCGGAAGCCGGACGTGGACTGGGAGGACATGGCGGAGAACATCTCGCTCTCGTGGTACTCTCTCTTCACCTCGTTCTGCCATGTCTTGAACCCCGGCGACCCCGGCGCTGTAGGAGACCCTCCCCGCTGCACCCCCTGCGCCTGGGCCTCGCGGGAGACGCTGGAGGGGGTGGGGGTGGAGGCGCCGAGGCGGATGAGGTCGGTGAAGGTGTGGGAGGCCTTGGGGTCAGTGCGGCCGTTGGCGAAGGAGAAGGGAAACTCGCGACGAGTCTGGCAGGTGAAGGTCACGTGCAGCTGCTGCTGCTCCTCCTCTCCGATCAGCCCAGTCGTGTCCGCCACTCTCAGCGATGAGTTCCAGGCGGCGGGCTGAGCCTCGGGGAGAAGCGAGTCAGGATAGCGGATGTTCCTTTGAGCACTCCTGCTGGGGGAGGACGGGGAGTGAGAGGAGAGGATGCCGACCTCCTTCTTGAGGAGGTAGGGGGACGAGCGCAGCATCGTCATGGTCTGCCGCAAGGGGAAGACACTGAATTTGTCCTTCATCCTCTCGTCGTCAAACCTGACGACCTGCCTTCCTATCAGTCCTGCGGATCTCCTCCTCCTCCTCCTCCTCCTCCTCCTCCTCCTCCTCCTCCTCCTCTTCCTCCTCCTCCTCCTCCTCTTCCTCCTCCTCCTCCTCCTCCTCCTCCTCCTCCTCCCACCACCACCACCTCCTCCTCCTCCTCCCACCTCCTCCTCCTCCTCCCACCTCCTTCGTCGTCAAGTCGTGCTTGTCCGCCTGCTCGTTGCTCGGCTTCTCGTACTGCACGTGCTGGAAGACGTCCTGCAGGTTGGCGACCTGGAACGAGTGCCGCTCCTTGCACTCGAAGGTCACGAGCGAAGGACGCTTTTCCTCCCCCTGCTGCTGCCAGCCATCACGGTAAGAGCTGAAGAGGAAGTAACCTCCTCCTCCTCTTCCTCCTCCTCCTCCTCCTCCTCCTCCTCTTCCTCCCCGCCTCCGCCTACGCCTCCCTCCTCCTGCTCCTCCTCCCCCTCCTCTTCCTTCCCCCTCCCTTCCCTCTCCTCCTCCCTCTCCTGACCTTTGACTTGAAGTGAGTTTCGTCTGGCTCCTCCTGCCTGGTTGGGCTGGCGCAGCGGAAGGCGGAGAGGGAAGGAGAGACCTGCTCGAACTGCATCTGCTCCCGTATGTTGCTTTCTCTGCTCTCCCATCGCTTCCTGCTGCAGCGTCAGCTCGGCTCGCGCGGCAGCTCCTCCAGCACCGCTGCTGGTAGGAGATGTGAGGTTTGCCCTTGGACTTGTTGTCTGCAACCCACAGCCGCATGTTGCGACTGAACCTCGTCGCCGAGCTCCGGTTCATCTCCTGCAGGGAGGACAGCTCCTCCAGCGTCTCCCGCGTCCCTCCTGCCTCCCCCTCCTCTCAGCTCCCCGCCTTCCAAGCTCGACAAGTCAGCGACCTCTAGAGTCGAAGCAGCGAGGGAAGAAGTATCCGCTCCCCGGCATCGTCACCAGCGGCTTCTCCTCAAACTTCTCCTGCTCCCTCCACGACTCGGGGTCGCTCCCGATCGCGATGCCTGCGACGAGGATGAGCGAGAGGGAGGAGAGGCGCTTCCAACCTCTGCTGGTGCTCCTCGTGTCTCCCTCCGCCCTCCTACTGGAGCGCGTGAAGGAGCAGGTGCCGCGCGAGATGTCGCGGAGGGTCAGGCGAGGAGAAAGATGCGTCTCGCCTTCCGTCTGCTCCATCGACCTGTGCGATCGGCGGGTGTCCTGCCTGTTGCAGGAGCGTCAGAGGAGGAGTGAGAGGCGGAGCAGCGCCTGTAGGGAGAGGAGACCATCTTCTTCAGCCCCACGCAGGGAGCGATTTCCTCCACCTCCTCGCCCTCCTTCTCTCGGATCGCTGAGCATCAATCAGCGCTCAACCTCCTCCTCCTCCTCCTCCTCCTCCTCCTCCTCCTCCTCCTCCTCCTCCTCCGCCTCCTCCTCCGCCTCCTCTAACTTTTGATCATGGCCCGGGGCTCCTTCAACCGCCTTGCTCTTCTGCTTCTTCCTTCACTCCCCTCTCCTCACCTCTTCGCTTTGGCGTATGGCCTCGACATCACGTACTCGTACATCTCACTCCCCACGAAAGTGGAGGAGAGGAACAGGAGGGTGAAGAAGCAGCA